GTGGGATGAACACAAACCCCTGTGACAGGGACAGGCTTCTGAGAAGCACCTAACAATAAATATGATGAATAAATTTATATATTCTCAGCCTTAAGGGACCATTCTTCCAAGGTCTCCAGGCTGGTGGAGCAATTGTGTTCATAGGCACACATACAGCCAGAGCTTCCCATTAACGTCGATGTTGTCTACCAATTACTCTGTCACAAAACAGGGACACTGTGCCACCACACACAAGTGACAGGCAGGTGGACCTTTTTCTGCACTCAGGTAAAGCAGTAAACACCAGTCAACGTTTCCTGGGTAATTACCAGTATATATGGATGCTACATCATGTATGTTAACTTAATAACACACATATAGGCTATACATATAGACATCTCTCAGTTCAAGTTGAGAAGAAAGCAGATACATAAAGAAGTCATTAATTTAATTATCTTGAACTGGAGATACATGATGGTCATTCTCCCCAATTTACATTTCCAAGAGCACAAACAATATTTGTTTTTCTCCCTTAAAAATAAAAACACACTGAAACAGAAATGTATGTCCTTTATTAACAAATTTTCAAAATAAATCTGAAGAAAAAAACGTCTTTGGTGACACTATCTATAAAAACAACCTATCTTAGATGGTAAACCTAGGATGTTATACAGGTTAATGAAGTAAACCAAATTATATGGCTTTTTAATTTCTCATTCTCTCTTCTTCTCTCATTCACACACTTGCTTTAGGTTTAATTGCACCATGTTGTCAATAGTCAAACAAAGGGGGGGAACACTTTAAAAAAGATGTGGCAGCATGGTGAAAACATTGGTAATGCATTAGAAAACTTTTCTCAAAAATGTACATTTTATACAAAATAAGGTTGTACTTTTTGCTTTACATATGCCCACCTAAGAATTCCCATTCCAGGTTTCCAATCCCATTACCCACACACTATACATATTTTCTCTCAAAATAAATACACAGGATTATGTACAAGGCTGCAAGACCCACTGGATCATCACTATTCTACTGTGGAACAGCCACTAAAAAAAAATCATGAAAAAGTGGAAGTGAGCACCCAAAAGCATCCGATGCATCCAACAAACGCCCTTAATTTTACTTTGACGTGAAAAGTAAATGTAAAGACAATCAAAACAGTGCTATAAAGGCCAGCTGGACTGAGGTTTAAGCAAGGGTGATGCGCGTGGTTTGGGAAGGCGCTGTTCTGCCCTGCGTGTGGGGACAGAACAAACACATCCCCCCTCTGAGCAGGGGATGTCACCGCGAGACCCCGCCAAGGGTCCCAGGGCCTCCCACCAGGGCCACCCCCTGTGACAGCCCTTGGACCATGGAACCAGCCTGGAAAAGCCCCCAACCTGCCCAGGCAGCTCTTGTTGGAAGAGACTTTCCATTGAGGAAATGGGAAAGCCGCCGTTGATCAGTCTATGTGTTATGACAACCACTGGGTAGGTTTGTTGGGTATGGGGAGAGAGAGAACACAAGGAGGACACTGCATTTTATGCTAGGAAAGCTAAAGGTTTTCAAAACAGAAAAAAAAAAAGACACCCCAAAACTAAAACCAAACCACCTACAGAATCCACTTCTAGTTGGGTCTTTCATTGTTTCAGCATCAAATGATCATTTCTGTTCTTGAAATGACACGTTTTTGGTGAATGAGCTATTTTAAAAGAAGGCGCTCATTGGTGAAAGATTATTTTCTTTGTCCAAGGTGGCTCTCAAAAGAAACTAAAATCTGAAATCGATCAAATCCATGATGTTTTCAAATGAAAAAGAAAATCAAAGTGCTGGGTATAAGCCATGCACCAGCACACTGCTGTGTTCATTATGACATTATGACACAGCTTAAACATTCACTCTTGGAAAAAGCTACGGTAATAATTAAGAGTTTCTCACAAAATAGAAAGAGGGCAAATAAAATCTCCTACAAGGAGAGCCAGGCACTTTATATCTTGGATGCTTGGCCCTACTTTTGTGTCTCATTTATGTCAGTATGAAACCCTCCTCCAGCAATAGATCTCATTCAATTATAAGTGAGAAGGGTTTCCTTTTTTTTTTTTTCTTGTAATAAATTCAATTAAAAATTCATCAGTTCTTCCAAACTCTAATGCCTATTTTTATTCTGTTTTAATGGCATGGATCTATTCACATTCATCCATCCATCTCACCCCTGATTAAATTAAGGTCAGTAACCTTTACGAAAGGCCACATGCGTAACACTCAGTCAAGTCATCAGGCGTTCAAGTACCTGTAAAGTAAAGGCTAACATAGCCTGCCGTTAATGAAAAATAAAATAAACCCTACAAAAGGAGCAGCAAGGAATGAACCTTGCTTTAGCACCATCTGAATTAAGGGGGATTAAAAAAAAAAAAAAAGACCAGAGAACCATTAACTCACATACAGGATGTGACCAAATGGTGATTTCATTGGCTAGAGAAATTGCACAGCCCCATGCACCACTGATACACCAGCAGGTTTGGAAACATGCCTGGTGTCCTTGGGAGCACTGGCTGTAACATCTGCACCCCACACTGTAGACGGAGTTTCTAAACTGAGTCTGTCTCCAGCTTTTTCCTCGATCTCCATCCCGTGGACACGGAGTTGTGGCCATTATGGCCCCTGGCCACCAAGAACATTCCTTCCTGGAGAGGTGGTTACACCTTGGCAACACACTCCAAAGAAAAATGCCCCCACCTACCCGAATCCATTCTGGAATTCAGCCTTTTATTGTTACTTCATTAATTAGCGACTTATAAAAAGCAGGAACCTTGAGCCATGATCAGAGCCAGCTTTGCAGAGTTTTGCAGCCACCCAAAAATGCCTTTAAGAGAATGCAAATAGCTTAAAAGCTTGGCCCTTCTTGCCGCACTCCAAAAATGGTGAGCCATTTTGCTAAAAATCCATCCCATGTGTCCCCCCAAATGACATTACATAAAGACCTTTTAGAACTGCAGTCTTTGTGCAGTCCAGAGTGAACAACCAAGGGGTTCCCCTCTCTCCCAGGCTCCTCCTGCAGACAGATCTATCAACTATTTCTCTGGGCTTTGGACATCCTTGCGGACACATAGGTATGCTTGCCAGCCAGCCGCGACAGGAGGAAAGCAGGAGCTGTGCCAGCCTCACCCAGCATTGGAGAACAACAACCAGAAGTCTAAGGAGAAGACATATTCTAGGCCCTGAAAGAGCTGCCTGACTTCCAAAGGGAGAAAAGCACATGGGAACTGCTGAGCAGTTCAACCCAGAACACCAGATCCCTGGACTTTGCCTTTGTGACTACAGAACTATCAGCAAAGGAACTGAAGTTCAGGTTTTATGGGGCTTGGGGAGTGGAATTAGCAGCTTACCAGAGCTGGCAGGAGAACATCCTGCTCCCCTTCCTTCCCTGTTCCTGTCTATTACACCCTTGCATCTTACATCTCTGTCCATGCTGATTTAACTTGCTGAAGTGGCATAAAAAATACAGCAATCCATTGGACAGCTTTCTGCGACTTCAGTGAGTTAAATGGCTCACAGAAGTGTCTGATGGGCATTAGGACTGGCCGAAGGCCTAAGGTCAGACCGTGTGGCCAGGTCCTGGCACGGGCCAGAGAGCAGCACAAGTCAGGGGTGAAGTAGCACAAGTAGAACTCATCCCCTCAGCAGCAGTCATGAGCTAGAGCCTCTCTCACACCCCATTTGGCAGATTCCTGTGAGGATTTGGTTCAGATTTAATACAACGTGTCAGAAACTGGATGCTTCTGCCCTAACTCGCTGTGTGCTCTCGAGTATCTCAATGCGTGCGAATAGCAAATCATTTTTTTTGTGTCAGTCTTTATGTGTCAATTTGCATAAAAACAATTAGTAATCTGCACTTGGTACTTTCAAGGCCTCTTTCAGTTCAGGCAGTCTGATCTTCCATCAACAGTAGTTACTTAGGCTTCACAGCATTCCCTCCACAACCAGGAACTATTATTTTTACAAATAAGGAAACTTGAGGCATACCTCATTTTTCAGAGATGCTTAAAGCTGTTTAATAAATCAGTGCCTGAATCTGAAATTAAAATAGCAATCCTGGTTCCAGCACCTTCTTATTACTCTAGCTATTATTTACCTCTCTTACTTGCTACAAAGGAATGAGGTATAGAGAGATTTGCTGGTCTTCTTTTGGGCATTAACACCAAACCTTCGCAAAGTAACACTGTTCTTACCATAGTTCTTGACTGTTATTACAATCTACCCTGAAAGTTTTTTAAAGTGCTTATTGTCTTAGCAAATTGGAATGGTAGCTTTCGAAGTTAAATCACTGCTTTCGTTTTAATTCTTCAATTTAAAGAAACAGGTAAATAAGAAAACACTATAGAGAAATAAACAACTGCAATATTTCTATTTAAAATACTGCCATTTGAAATGCTAAGACTACTTTTGAGCATCAGCAACATCGATATTTCAGGGCAGATTTTTTGTTCAAATTACCCTGCCTTAAGTATATTTGGAAGAACTTGCTGTCCCCAGTACCACATACTTAATTGACAATACAGTTTAATTCAGATGACCAAACCATATGGAGAATTTTTTGCACCTATTTCCACGTCAGCAACTTGGGGAAAAAAAAAAAAAAAAGGCCTACCATGATTGGATTTCATACAGGACAATTTGTTGCAGGCTGAATTCCTGTATTTCAAGCAGTAACATGTCTTCATGCCTTCTCTTTTGCCCAACAACCCTTTCCACCCCTATAGCCCTTCCAGCCCAGGGCAGTGCTTGGACATGGTGAGGGTGATTTGGTGCAAAACAGTTGTGAGAGAGTAAATGGCACTGAATTCTTGCTGTGCATTAAGCCCTTTCTGTCCTCCACATTACTGGTTCATTCCTTAGCAATAATGTTCCTCTCCCCTTCAAAAAATAAGATCCTCAAACAGAAGGATCTTAATTCTAGTTTTATGCATTTTGAGTTCTCCAAGTTTTCTGTCTATCCAATGAAATTTTGCTATATTGGCCGCTATTAGCTTGTGGAAAATTCAAGAAAAGAAAGAGTCAGCAGCAAGTGAAAAGCACAGTACTTAGTTTCTGTCCTGCTTGTGCTCCATTTGTTTCTGTAAGTAACTGCTGCATTTTCTCCCTGTGAGATTCAAACATTTAACTTTGCAAGGGAAAATGAATGAAAATAGCAATCGAATGCATGTGAGAAAGAAATGGCAGCTCTGAAACATTCACAACCAACACAATTTTGATTAAAGAAAGAACTCTGTTTTTAATAGTTTTTTTTTGATCATTAAAAAAGTTTAAACCTGCATAGCAATCATTTCAAAAATAATTATTTAATGTTCCATAATGAAACTGTACACAACCTAGTCTCGAGCGACAGAAGCCTGTGAGGTGGCTCGAAGCAGTCCAGGGCAATGCACCCCCGGGAGCCGCATTTTGGGACTCTTCTGTCCTCGCACAGTCTGGCTCCTCGTGTCGCTGGGTGTGCGCTGGGCAGGGCGAACAGTTCGGTGCCCTCGGCCGGGCTCCTCAGAGTCGTTCAATGTCTCGGTATTTCTTCCTCAGGATGGAGACCTGGTCTTTAAAGAGGACAGGGTCGAGCCTCATCTGAGAGTGGATCAGCGGCATATAGCCAAACCAGCTGGCAAACGTGTTCATGCAGCTCTGCCGCTGCGCGAAGTGGTCGGGGTCGGCCCAGCGCGAGGCCCTCGAGGTCTGCAGGGGAGAGAGGCGGACGTGAGCGGCGGCCAAGCCCGAGGGCGGCGCCGTCCCACATGGCGCTGTGGCGGGCACGAGCTCGCCCCGCTCCACAGCGCCACTCAAATCAGGCCCAGGGGCAGCTCCTTTCCAACCTCGGGAATGAAGCGGTGCCCACGGGAGGAGCCGGCCACCCCGCGGCCTCTGCTCGGGCAGCAGCAACGCGGGGAGGAGACCTGAGGCGCCAGCGGCCTCACCTGGAGCACCAGCACCCCCAGGGGCTCTCCGCACACTAGCTCACAGTCCTTCTTTCTTTCTTTCTAAACCCACAAACTATTTAGGAAAGAGGAGAACAAGCCATTAAAAAAGTAGAAAAACAGGAATGAGAACAAGGGCACCATTTTCCACTAGAGGTACAAATCCTAGAAGCAGCTGCTGCCTATGGCCTTCAGCCACAAGAGGAAAAACACTGGAAAATTATTACGGTTTGTCAGCTCCGAAATGCATTTCTGCAGTCTAGACCTGCAAAAATTTATACACAAGTAATTTCAAACTGCTTGTAATTGAGTTCAGTGCCACTTCTTTCATGCCTGAATTTACTCGTATGTGTAAGTGTCCTGCATGTGAAAAGCAGGAGGCTTCCAGGAATCAGACTGGCTGAGAGCAGCACATGAGACAGAACCATCTTAAGCACTGAGAAAATAAGCTGAAATTGCAGAGGCATTGCATTAAACTCTGCTGAGGAAAGGACCTCAGGTTGTCTTTATGCAAAACACCGTGGCCTGACTTTCCAAAGCTCAGAGCAACTGTAATTCCTATGAAAGCCCTGAGCAACTCAGCACCTTCAAAAAAACCAAAACCCTTGAGCTTTGAAACAGTTATTATTCTCTTTACCTAAGCTACATGTATAAATACAATAAAAGTTAAAACTACCTTTTAAGAGAAACTATGAATTCTGAGAAACTACTAAGTTGTTTTGTGCATGCATTTCTACAGAATTTTGCTTCCATTTCCAGTATACTCTAAAAATATATATAAATTTATAAACTCAAAGTGTGTTAATTAAAATGTGAGGAAACAGGTAGTCAGGGAATTGCTGAAGGAATTTGGCATCAGACTTGATCTTTATCCAAGGCTTGTTCAGTTTAGCTAAAGCGGTAGGTTATAATGTGCATTGATTCCAGCCTCCTGATTATACACAGCCACTAATGAGCAAGCAAAATCTCACTGCTAGAGGATTACAGGGGACATGCTGACCATTTGCAGTGAATTTCCATATGACCATTAATCTCTGTCACCACACTGAGGTTACAATAATTTTTTATTTGTCTTTCAAGGAATTATGAGCACAGTCCACTGCATCTCCCAAAGCTGCAGGAACAACTTATCTTAAAGAGACTTATAGTTCATGGTTAACTCAAGTCACCGGCTCTAAAAAAAGAAAAATGCATGTGCAGACTGTGCAAAACAGCCAAAGCACAGCCCTGTGGACTAGCAAAGCTCAGACTTCAAGTAGTAAGTAGCTTCGGACTGCACTTCATTGTTAGCATGAGGACCCTTGGGTGCCCAGATGAGTCAGAATTGCCGAATATTATCTATAAATCAGATTAAAATACAGTGCCAAATAGATGAGGGACTCTACAGCCTGGTTTGGGCACTCCTCAGTCATAGTTCCAGAATATTGGGCAATGCTAACAGAAGAAAATGTGACGAGACAACAAAGTGCCCATAACTTCTGTCTCTTCTTCCCCAAGGAGCCATGCTATAGGTTATAGTGCTGATCATGTATACTTTGGCGGCACAGGTGGGAGGCTGGTTAGGACCTGCAGCTTCTGTGCTCTTAATCCCGTCACTCACTCCCACAAGGCAGGAATAACCCCCCAAGACTGCCAAGCACCTGTGCTGTTAAAAGGTGCATCCATTTCTGCATACTAAACTGAGTATTTCAAGGCAGCTAGTGAGAGATCATGACCATAGGATAAAATGCCCTTGTGCGAAAAAGTGTTTAAAAAACATAAGTTACCTCTCTTCTTACAGTCTAGTGTCAGTGCCTAACAACAGTATAAACTTTTACGTAGCTGGGCTATGGCTCTGTACATTACATTTATAAATAATAATTAAATATATATATATATTTAGAATTTACTTCTGCTTCTATCATTGCATGACTGGGTCTTAGATCAATAATATTTGATCAGTAAACTAAAATCTAACCAAATTCAATCACCACAGTCAGCTCCACAGTCATCAGGGCGATGCCCCTGGGATCACCAGGTACCGTGATCCTAACTGGAAGACTACTGTGCACCAAGGAGCCGGTGCTCCAGCCGGCCACTGACCTGAGAAGGCACAGGCCCACACAGTGCTGCTCAGATCCCCCAGCTGAAGGATAAATTTAGCCAGCTAATTATAATGGAGGGGCCTGTAGGCAGCTCCAACTGGGTGTCCTTCTCTTTATCTAAAAATGAAGCAGCATGTTCCACTGTGAACATCCTTTTGCTTGGTGAACAGAACTGTTTTCTTCTAAGAAAATCCTATATGAGCTCTAAGACCAAAATGTGGGTGGGATGGGATTTGCAAAGCATCATGTCCTGACTGAGAGGTCCATCTGCTGCTGTATCATCTTGGGTTCTCAGTACCAGAAGGAGCATAACGTTTAATTGTTAATCCTTTTTTTCCAATCCTATCTTTGCATATTCTGATTAAATATTGTATTATATTTAAAGATTCAAATAATTATTCTTTCTTACTGATATCTAGAAAAAATTCATACCTACCAGGTATACACCATCATAAAGAATATAATATGAAAAGACTATGAAGAGAAGTTGTCATACGTATAAACAGTTGCTATTTCTCCTTAGAGTTTTTGTTTCATTATAATAAGCTCAGGTAAAGTCTATATACAGTTCTGTTAAATTAAAAACTGTAAGAAATAATAACAGAATTGAATTCATTCCACAAGTCTGAATCTGGAAGTCAAGAAGATGCATTAACAATACAGCTCAAACAGCTAAAACATGCTGTGGATACATACCTGTCCCATCATGGTCTCCTTATACTGCTTTTTCTGTGTTACTTTGATTGGAGGCAATTTTGTCACAGCTGACACCAAAAAATTCATTAAAATGTCCTCACAATTGGCCAGTTGGTCCACCATATTCTTTAGGCTGGCAGGCAGGTAATGAGTGTACAGGTAGTGATAATATCTGGGAAAGCAACAGCAGGGTTATTAAAACAAGTCACCTTGTTTTCAGGGACTATAAACTCCAAAGAATTCCTGTCCCAACTGAGACACAAATTTTGCATGCAAGTCTGGGTACACCAGATCCCTCCTTTGGTCTTAGCCTCCAGCAAAAGGGAGGAAAAATCACTATCTCATCAAGGCAGTAAATAATGTTATTGGATATTGCCTAGCTTTTTAATTGGATTGAAAGAAATAACACTGACTTAAGTGTATGATAATGGAGAAGTAGGAAACAGAACTTGCTGTGATGTATTGTGACAGTCAATATCGATGGATCTATTTTCTCCTACTTATTTCAAAAACATGTCAAGCTGCATAGAACACTATTGAATTGGCCCACTATTGTCCTTCTTGTTCAAATCAGTCTCCTCTGGGTGTACGTCGTGCCCTCAGCCCCTCTTTTCCTTTATGAGGGAGAGGATCGGGTGCTGAGGAACATGTTCACCCTCACTTAGAGGCTGGAGCTCTCTCCAGTCCGGTGAGGCCCGAGCAGGAGGCCCGGATCTGAGCACGGCTCTGCCGGGTACCCCCCGCACGGCATTTCTAGAGCAGCCAGAAGACTTTGCAGGCTGCAGCTGTCAGCCAGCACATACCCAGAGCCGGGCTGGAAGTAACCTCCTTTCTGCTACGCTACGGGCCATTCAGCCGAGCGCCTTAATGAATTCGGGAACTCTTTGAAGTGTAATTCCTGATGTTAAAAAGAGAAGTCTGACTGCCTCAAAATACAAGTGACTTCAAAGAGACCCAACAAGCGCAATAATGATTACCAGATCCCCAGAGTTAAACCAAGAGCTTAAATTATTACCCCATAAAAAGTAGACCCATTTATTATCTTTCCATTTTTTCCCCTCTCCGGAAGAACGCTCTTTATTCCCCCATGCTATTTTGTTTAAGACAGAAGGAAGACGGCAGATGCTCTGGGTTCTTACTTGTGGTAAATAGCAGCTCCTGTCAATACCATGGAATAGTCATTAGTCCATTTGGAGGTATAGCCCCATCTCTCCTTAGTGTTGTCCCAGAAGTGACTGCGAGCAGGGTACCCTACAATCCTATCTGGAAAACTCTGCCAAACTGTAAAGGCAAAATCCACCTGCAGACAAAGGCACAGGCCAAATGAACAGTCAAATTCTTTCAACAAATGTCAACAAAACAAAATATTACCTTGCCATTAATTCATAATTCAGAATCTTGAAACTGTTGCAAAACATTAATTCCATGTATTCATCAGCAAATTAAACTGACTGCTTGACATTTTGCCCTATAATTATGCACATTTTAATAGTTCCTCTTAAAGGGAGTCTAGAGCATCACAGCATTACATTAACATTTTCAACTTGCCCTTTACACATTAAACCTTTTCAAGTTACAGAAAGAATAGGTGTAGATGCATGTATTCATAGTTAGCTGCAGCACAGTGGCAATAGCCATGTGGTAAACTGAACCTTTGCACATCTTTATGCATCTCGCTTACCTACTATTTCAGTACTGTCAACACAAAGCTCTGAAAACGAGGAGTCAAACACTTCAAATTATAAGGGTGTAAAACAAGTAATCAGCATGCAGTTCTCTTATATCTTCCTTCTGTTCCAAGCCTTTGAGGTACATGCACTTCATGTTTTTAAGACTCTCTATATGGCCTAGAGGGTCAAATGCATATCAAAAAAAGAGGAAGACAGCATTCCCATGTAGTATTTATATAGCTTCAGGAGCTCGTGCTTTAAGAAAAATGCTTGTATAAACCACAAGAAGATTTTCATCTCACTGTAATTAATTTAATAACTCAAATCTCTGAGGATTGAGAGGGTGACAAGACATTGCTATCCACCAAACAAATTGCAGAGACAACAGGAAAGGAATGATAGGGGCAGTTTACAGCAGACTTATTGGCACTGCATTTGAACAGAGTTTGGTAAAATTTTCCATACATATGGAAAGTTTTTGCTTTTTTTTTTTAAACCGATGTGAAGCTTTTTAACAGTATCTTCATTTCAATTTATGTTTTGCAGCTCAAACTTGCCCAAATTTTAAAAAGAATCAAAGACAATTCTACCTGCCCCATGAACACCATGCAAACAAGGGATTCATTTCTACAGTGCATACAACGTTCTCTCTCAGTACCAAAGGAACTAAAGCCTTGCTCAAAAATACTTGAAAAACCTTCCAGGAATACAGCCTCAGTTAGGGGTTGAGAGGTTAAATAAAGAATAGCAGCTATGAAAACAGCTACATTTCGTGTGATTATTGTCAGGCTTCTCTCATTTACAAGTGTTTTTATGAAACAGAAGAGTCGCACATGTACTGGAACACAAATTTAGGGACTGGTTCTTTTCTTTCAAGTTGTTTCAAGGAATCTAAGGCCAAATAGACAATGTGTACCACCTAGTTATCATTATAGTTCTAGCTATAGTTCTGATCTCATCCAAATCAATACCACATGAAAGCACTAGATGTTTTCTCTCTGCAAAGGCCTTTCCCATCAAATCTGACATCTGTTTTCTTTGGAGAAGTTGGACAATCTCAAACTAAAATAAATACTAAGGCAGCTACATACAGAGTCCCCGCTTGCGCATTTAAATATCTATCCTTGTCCCAGTGGGAGGCACTAAAACAACTACCCCAAGGGAAATCTCCCTTTACAGGAAAAAAATCCCAGGTTCTCGTCCTATGTAATTTTCAGCAGCTTTAACACTCAGCTGACCAGCAGGAAAACGCAGCGAGTCTCTCAAATCCCTGTATCATTTCCAACCCATGCTGATTTCTAATTACTTTCCATACAAACATCCTTGCTGGCGTGCGGTGGAGCTCTTTGGGCTGTTCCTTGCATTGGGAGAATTGCGCATCTATCCCTTGGGAAAAGAAACCTTTTACTAACTCTAGAGCTGTGCTGAGTGGCAGACGTGTCTGATAAGTGTTCCTCTAGATCAGAACACGATCATGATTGACCATGTTTCAAAATTGCCTTTCCTGGGTTTCTCCATGTGACTCCAAGCTAGTTTTGAGTTTTGAGTGTTTGAGACACACTCTTTAGTTACACAAGCCATATGGCCAGGGAAACAAAGTAAGAGAAAAGCTTCAATTCTTCATAGTATTCCACTGACCTGGGCATCCAGGCACAGGAGTATTGAAGCTAAAGGTCTGTGCTAACTGGAGAGGCAGCCCAGTTGCTTCTCTTAGCAGCCCAGGCATCACGGGGCTTGCAGACCTAATACCACACTGCAAACACAGAGTATCAGCAGCAAGTGGCCCACATGAGGGGAAAAGCCACAAAGAAATGTGGACATCGTTTCACAAAAAATATTTGTATTTTAGAATGTTTAGCATAAGACATGGCCAAGTTGAATGAGAAACTTTATTTATTTAACATGCATTCCAGAAGCCTGACTGACTCCAAAGTTTGGATGATGACTAATTATCAGGCAAAACAAAACAAATCTGCAAATCCTTATGGGATCAACCAGCTACATTGCTGTAAATACCACCACAGTGATGTCCTTGACAGGTCTACCATGGTCCTCACATCAGCTGAGGCATTTACTCCTCATCCTGAAGAGCAACCTGCTTAGGAACTCCAGACTTAAGATAAATGCCTTTTATTTGGGGGTTCTTTTTGTTTTTTTTTTCTTTGGCTGTGCAGGACCTTGCACACAAGTGATTTGGGAGTGGTTGTACTCTTTCTAACCTAGCAGGAAGCACCAAGATATAACCTGGAAATCAAACAGGTTAAATGCCAAAGGCTTCTTCCATCTGTGCAACAGAAGAGGGCTACAAAGGCTCCTCCTGGAGCAGACTGACCAAAGCTCAGCAAATCTCATCCATTTACAACAAATTCAGTGAATCATAGAATGCTTAAGTTGGAAGGGACTTCTAGAGGTCATCTAGTCCAACCTCCCTGCACATGCAGGGTCACCTAGAGCACGTGGCACAGGACTGCATCCAAGTGGGTTTTGAAGATCTCCAGAGAAGGAGACTCCACAACCTCTCTGGGCAGCCTGTTCCAGGGCTCTGTCACCCTCATTGTTAGAAAAATTTTCCTTAAGTTCCTGTGAAACTTTTGGTGTTTCAGTTTGTGGCCATTTCCTCTAGTTCTGCTGGTGGCCACCAGTGAAAAGAGGCCAGCACCATCCTCCTCACTCCCTCCCTTGAGGTACTTATAGACCCTGATCAGGTCCCCTTTCAGCCTTCTCTTCTCCAGG